GCTGCGCCACCAGGGAGGGCCCTGGTTAACTTTTTATTTAACTTTATTTGCTGGTCAGGTAAACAATCTGACACATGTTTCCTGTTTCTGTGATAGCAAACAAATAGTTTTGCCAGTCATCTTCTTGGCATTAAGTCATATACCTTTTATGAAATGATATCTGATATGAAAAATAGATTTGGACATTGATAAATTTTTTTCACATCCCTATACTTGTGGATTATTCCCTTCTAAACTATGTTTGCTGCAGGTATGTATAAGTATGTTACAAGAACCCATCATGCTTATTGATGAAAAATACTGATATTTTCATTTATATTCTCTTTATATTTGTGTTTAATAACATTGAGTGCTACATGCCAGATGCTATGCTGGATATTTTATTTACATTATCTCTGATTTTCACATAACTTAGATACTAGCTGGGTGAATTTCATGCTGGTGATGGAAGTACATACAGGTCAACAAGGGAGCTGTTTACATTCTCACAGTGTCCTCTGGTTATAAGTGCCTTCTTTTTGGTGATTTCTACCCTTTGTTCATTTTATGTTCAAGTTAGGAAACATTTTTTATCTTGCTATGCTGAACATGCCACTTCTGTATTTTACATAGCATGCACCTTTGTGTGAAACCTAGTCTCTTCTTCAATTTGTACATATATAATATGCATTTGAAGAATCTGTGCAAGTAGTAGGTTTTACTGAATGGGAAGGAAGGATTTATTTCCAGCATCACAAATAACTTCAGATTAACAGCAAATATCTCACACCATTTGGGATGTCTTCCTTTAGCTAGTTTACGCCCCCAGAGCAAGACAATAACTTACTGATTTCTCTTTCTCATCTTTCCCTCACCCTCACTACCCCAGCTTTACTTTTGATTGAATCATGTATAATATTTTCATTTTCATTCCTTAATGAGCCTTGAGATTATCTTTATATATCCAATCCGCTAGGTATTTGTTCAGTGAAACGAAAAAGGGCCCACCATTCTCAGAATTCACCCTCCTTATATGGCAGTAGCAGTTATAAGCAGAATTTTCCCCTATTGGTATTATCCTCAAGTTATAAGTGAGGGAGCAACCACAAAGATTTAATGACTTGTCCAGGAGTATTTAGTTAGTGATAAAGTCAGGTTTTGTATCTAGGTCCAGCTGTTCCTACCAAACGAGACACAATTCAAAAAAGAAGTTAGAAAAAGTGTAAGTTAAAGTCCTCTGAGCTTGAAAATAGGAAAATTACTTTGAAAATTCATAGCATTTGAATCTACTTGGTTTAGGAGTACATACTTTTACAATGATGATGTTTCGTAAGGTAAGGGAACATAATAAGTAAATATTTTCTGTTACTGAGCTGGAAAAAGGCACAAAATGATGTGAAAATAAACTATTATATTATTCAAGAAATTAAAAAAATTTTCAATTACTTGAGAAATCGTGCCTGGTAGCAGACAAATGGGATATTTGTTATGGCTAATAATAAGAGATTACTATGAATATTTCTATGCTAATTAGCTAAACAGAAGAAACTGAACAGGGAAGAAATAGAAAACCTGCACAGGGCAGTCACAAGCAAGGAAATTGAAACAGGAATCAAAACTCTCCCCAAAAAACAACAATCCAAGACCATCTAGATGGCTTCGTAAGTGAGTTTTACCAAATCTTCCAAGAATATGACTGCTGTTCATATTCTTTCAAAAAATTCAGAAAGAGGGAATATATCAAATTTTACCAAGCCAACATTAACCTAATACCAAAATCAGGCAAAGAGTATCAAAAAGGAAAACTACAGACCAATGTAAAAATCCTCAACAAAATCTTAGCAAATCCAATCCAATGATGCATTAAAATGATTAAACCGCATGATCAAGGGGAATATAAACCAGGGACACAGCAATGGTTCAACACCTGAAACTCACTCAATGGGAAATTTAGTTTAAAATTTATTTATAGACTGACTATCTTGATAAATATTGATCCTCATTTTCATCATATTTCTCTTAACATAGTTTTCCAATAGCTGCTTTTTTTTTTTTTTACAGAGACAGTTAAAGGCAGATGCTAAAAAAGCTATTGGAAGGCTTCAACTGCGTACACTGAAACAAGGAGACAAGGTACGTTTATAATTTGAAATGCTGTTTGTTTTAAAGCATTGCTACCAGTTGTTGAAATTAATTGTTCTCCCAAAATATGCCTTTAGTTGGAATTTATAAACCTTCTAAAAAGTATTATTTATTCTTGGAATTCATAAATCTATTGATTTTTTTTTTAAAAAATCTATTTGATGCTAAAAGTAGGCTGAGTACTGTCCCCCAAAGATAACTACATCCCTGGAACCTGTGAGTGTTGCCTTATATAGCAAAGCAGACATTAAAGATGTGGTTGAGTTTAGGGGCTAGAAGATGGGGTGATTATCTATCCTGCATTACCCAAGCGGCCCTTAATTATAATCACAGTGTCATTATAAGACCAAAAGAGGGGAATTTTGACTCCGATACAGCAGGTGATGTGACAGTGGGAATAAGAAGTAGGAATGATGTGATAAAAGGGCCATAAGCCAAGGAAAGGGATTCTCTCAAGGAAAGGAACATAGCACTGCAAACACTTTGTAAAGATTTATTTATTTGTGCATACAGAACTGGGGTACAAGCCAGTGGTGCAGGGGCAGTGAGAGGATTCACCAAAGACAGGTGGGGAGCAGAACAGGCAGATTGACGAAGTACACTGCTGAGGGGAGCAGCAGGCGGGTCAGGGGAGGTCTGCTCAACTTGTGGGTCACCTCCCGGGCAAGCGGGGATGGAACTCATGCGGAAGTGGCTTTAGCTTCTTAGGGCTGTGCTTTAACCCGCTGCACCACCAGGGAGGGCTGCAAACACTGTGATTTTTAAGACTTCTGATTTTCAGAATACTAAGGGATAAAAATTGTGTTATTTTAAGTCACTGAGCTATAGTAATTTGTTATAACTGGAAGCTAACACAGTAGAGCTTTACTTGAATATCAATTTGCAGATTTAGGGCAGTTGGAAAATCCACTGATAGGGAAGACATGGCTATAAAACTTACAGAAATTAAAAATACCATTTATAATAGCACTAAAAGCATTAAATATTTGGGTGTAAATCTTACATAATATGTACAAGATCACTATGCTGCAAACTGTAAAATACCAATGAAAGGAAGAAATCTTTTGCTGAATTTGACAAGTTCATTTTAAGATTAGATGAAAAAGCAAAATAAGTAGAATAACCAAAACAATTTTTGCAAAGAAGAACAAATTTGAATGATTTACTTTACCTAATTTGCAAAATTATTTTAGAGGTACCGTAGTCAAGATGGTATAGTGCTGGAGAAAGGGTACAATTTTAGATCAATGGAACAGAAGAGACCAGAAATAGACCCACATATATAGGGTCAAATGATTTTCAACAAAGGTGCAAAAGCAACTCAATGAAGGAAGGATAGCTGGTTGTTGGCTCTCTATAAGCAATTATTAGATATCCATATGAAAAAAGTGAACCTCAATCCATACTAAGCATCCTCTGCCAAAACAAAATTATCTCAGAATGGAACATAGACCTAATATATATCTTAGAACTATCAAGTTTTAGAGAAATCTGGAGGATGTTCATGGGCCTCCCTGGTGGCACAAGGGGTTAAGTTTCAGCACTATGAAGCTATCAGCTGTAGTGTATTTCATTTAGTCTGCCTGTTCTACTCCCCACTCTGTTTCTGGTGAATCCTCTTCCCTCCATCCCCACACCTTTGGCCTACACTCCAGCTCTTGTATGCATAGATAAATAAAATAAATGAGGAAAAAAAAGTTCATAACTTGGTTTAGGCAAAGATTACTTAGATATAGCACCAAAAACAAGTCTACCAAAGGAAAAAATGAAACATTTTACTTTGTCAAGGGAAGTAAATCCCGAAAGTTAATTTGTATGGTGATAGATGGTAACTAGATTTAATTTGATGATATTTTATAATGTTTAAAAATACTGAGTTATGGCCCTCCCTGGTGGCGCAGCGGGTTAAAGCGCAGCACTAAGAAGCTAAAGCCACTTCCGCATGAGTTGGATCCCCGCATGCCCCGGAGGTGACCACATGGCGTGGCAGACCTCTCCTGACCCGCCCGCTGCTCCCCTCAGCAGTGTACTTCCTCGATCTGCCTGTTCTGCTCCCCACTCTGTCCCTCTCACCCTCCGCATCTCTGACCTGTACCTCAGTTCTGTATGAATAAATAAATAAATCTTAAAAAAAAAGATTTATTTATCTATGCATATAAGAACTAGAGTACAGACCAGAGGCACAGGGGGGTGAGAGGATTCACTGGAGTCAGAGTGGGGAACAGAGCAGGTGGACCTAATGAAATACACTGCTGAGGAGAGCAGTGGGGAGACAGGAGAGGTCTGCTGTGCTATGTAGGTCAGCTCCCTGGCCGGTGATCTGAACTAGTGCCTTGGATAGCTTCATAGAACTGTGCTTTAATCTTTTGCGCCACCAGGGAGTGCCCACACGTAACATCTTATGAATTCTAAAACCAGGAAAAACAGTTAAAATCAGTGCTACATGATTCTCTTTGTGCTGTTCCTCATTTGTTTGGCTTTATTCTTGTAGCTTTTTAAAGTCAAGATTACTTTATTTTCAAATTTAAGTTATATGACATTGTTATCAACTATAGTCAGCAAGTTTTATAATATATCCTCAGAGCTTATTTATCTTTTATTTTTAAAGATTTATTTATTTATGCATTCAAGAACTCAGGAATAGGCTTAGGTGTGGGGGGAGGAAAGGGGGGTATTGGAAAGGATTCACCAGGCACTGAGTGGAAAACAACAGACAATTTACTGAAATATACTGCTGAGGGGAGGGAGCAGTGGGCAGGACAGGATAGGTCTGCTGCACCATATGTGAGTTAGCTCCCTGGCTGGGATCCAACTCAGGCCAGGCCGAAGCAGTTGTGAAAGCCTCATAGTACAAGGACTTAACCCCTACAACCATCATGGAGGCCCAGACCTTATTTATCTTACAGCTGAAACTTTGTACCCTTTTACCAGCCAATTCCTCCCCATCCCCATGCCCTGGCAACCACTTTGCTGCTCTTTGTTTCTATGAGTTTGGCTCTTTTTTTTTTATTCCAATTAAATCTAAATAATTTAAATTGCTTATTGACATATAATCATCTAGGATATGATCCCCCTCTAATTCATGCTATTTAAATACATGTATATTCTGATCTTAGCCTGAAGTTTAATGTATTTTTTCCTGTCCATCAGTGTAACAATAACTATTTACTCATAGGAGATTGGCCCTGATGGAGATAGTTGTGCTGTGTGTATTGAGCTGTATAAGCCAAATGATTTGGTTCGCATTTTAACCTGCAAGTAAGTTTCATTTTCTCTTACATCAGTAAGAATAATAGCTGATTTACAAAAATGATTATATTGGGGGAAACTATTTTGAATGTTAACAAATTGATATAAATAAAGTACTGATGAATGACTTTTTCTTTGAATATAGGAGAATCTTTTAATACCACTGTAATTGTTATCAGCTAATTATATAAAGTTTCTATGATCTGGGAAATGTTAAACTAAATCCACATAGCATTGAGACCTTAGTTATTATACACTATATATATATATATATATATATATAGTGTATAATAAATAGTACTGGGTTAATTAATTAAAATTCTTTTTTTATTAATTCATTTTTATTTATATCTTTTAGATCATTGTGTATTCCCCATAAAGTTCCTACCACCAGTTCACTTGTGAACCTTCACCATAGTCCCTTGTGCCCTTCGCTCCCATTTTGATCCCTTTTCCTCTTTCTCTCACAACACTTATTCTTTTTAATCAATTAACTAATTAATTAATGAACTTATTTATTTACAATGTTTTCTTTTCTCAGGTGTATGCCCCATAGAATTCCCACCACAATTCACCCGGAATTCCCACCGCAATTCACCCGTGCTCCATCACCATAGACCCTTGTGTTCTCCCCGCCCTTGCCCTGGACTTTCCCTTCCCCAGTAGAATGTCTCTGCTTTGTAGTTGGCTTTTTTGGTTGTTGTTGCTTGATTTTGTTGTAACAGCCCTACTAAGAAAAATAAACTAATGAGCACCTATTTGGAAGTCTTCATTCTTTAGTTTTTTATTATCCCTCTCCTCAGAGTTATTCTTAGCATTCATTCTTTTTGGTATTAAGTAATGGTTTTCTTTGAATGTATCATATTTCCTAAAGTGTCAGTTATTATGTTGTCCTCATAGTATTGTACTATATTACTGAGAATAACTACGTCTTTACAGTTAGGGAATGACAAGATAACTGAGATATGAAATACTGAACGGAGTCTTGAGTCAGGTAGCATCTTAGCAGTTTTTCAAGTAATGAGCAGTGAACACCTTTTTCTTGAAGCTGTAGTAATGCAGCTGTTTTATATTTTAAGGTACTGTATTATGAAATTTCCAAATTTTGTCTTCATGGCTGCTTCTTAGTATTTATGTTGCTTATGTTTCTGTGTGTTTAAAAGGAAAAAGAAGAGGACATACAGTAAAATACTAAGTAAAATTAAAGGGTAACCTGTTAGTATATTAGGTAAGTATTGTTATTTCATCGCTGATAATTAAATTATGTGTGTTTTTCTTCATTAGCCATATTTTCCACAAGACATGTGTTGACCCATGGCTGCTAGAACACAGGACTTGCCCTATGTGCAAATGTGACATACTCAAAGCTTTGGGAATTGAGGTAAATATTGCTAAACTATTTATGTGAAGGAACTTAGGCAATGTGTTAATATAAATACCTGGACCTTCCGAAAATTAGCATCCTTGTTTTCTAGCCATGTAATGTGCTAGACTTATAGTTCACACCAAAAATTGGACATCTTTTCATCCTAGTGGCAGCAAATTTGGATCACTTTCATTTTCCTTCTCCTTCCCTCTCCTCAAATGTAATTATTTGGTTGGAATTTGAAGCCATAGTTATATAAACTACCTAATGGCTTCTGATGCCTCTTTGTTTTTCACTTTCTTACTGTTGCATAACAATGAAACTTGTAGGTAAATGAATATATAGTTTGAGCAAGTGTAATAAATATTAAATTATTATTATACTTGGCCAGTGAAAGTGAAAAAACTGCCAACCTGTTTCACAAAGTGCACCACAGAAAGATGAGCTCCACAAAATTCCTGACTTTTTTTCCACAAGAAATGTGTTGTCTTGTGGAAAGGAGATAAATATGTCACAGAGATTCTCAATTTCCTTATTGAGAAACATGTGATTACTTTGTGCCGACTATTCTATAGTGCTGGGGCCACCCAGATGAATGTCAGGTATGAGGGTGATCTGCCTTTAATATCTTTCATCCTATTGCTGGGCTCCATTATTTTGACTATCCTAACTGTACCAACAAGAGATTTTTGTGACCATTAAAAGGGAGTATGGGCTGAAATGCTTAAAAGCATTGCTCTAATGCGTTAACTGTGAAAAAAAAGTAATGATATTTCAAGGAAGAGCATGTATTCTGAAAATTTGTTCAACTATTTCCCAAAGGTGGATGTTGAAGATGGGTCAGTGTCTTTACAAGCTCCCGCGTCCAATGAAACATCTAATAGTGCCTCTCCTCATGAAGAGGATAGTCGTAGTGAGACTGCATCTTCTGGCTATGCTTCAGTTCAGGGAGCTGATGAACCACCTTTAGAGGAGCACGTGCCGTCAGCAAGTAAGCACCATGCTTTGAGCACCATTGAGTACCCCATATGTCATTCTTTCTGGGTCATATACACAGCATTAATCCTGTATCTTACCATTTGCTTCTCCTGTCCATTAGCACATTTTAGGATTTCCCACCAACAATGATGCAATGCTGGATGAAATGCTACCTTAACTTAATAAACACAGATTCAGATGTAACTGAAACAGATGAAGTACCACAGGAAGGGAGGGGGGGGATTAGTTACAGAAGAAAAAGATATATATGGAATTTTGTCTAGGATACATTTAATTGTTGGCTCATTAACCTACAGAACCAGAACTACAGAAACTTTTTTTTGTTATATATCCAAAAGGACAGAGTGCAAAGAGTAAAGGGCACTTGCACAGACACAAGTGGGTGGAAAGTGCTGCTCCTGAAAGGGACAATTTAAAAAAAAAAAAATTCTATTTATTTATTTTTCCTTACAATGTTTGCTTTCTTTTCTCAGGTGTAGTCCCCATAGTGTTTCCACCATTAATCCACCAGTGCACCATTATCATAGTCACTTGTGTTCTTCCCACCCTCATTTTGATCTCTCCCCTCCCCCCACTGCTACAGAATGGCTCTGATTTGTAGTTGTCTGCTTATTTGCTTTGTTTTGTTGTTATTTTTTCCTTTATTCCCTATATTCCTCCTATAAGTGAAACCATCCAGTATTTTTCTTTATCCTTTGGACTTATTTCACTGAGCATCACCCTTCAGCTCCCTATGTTGCTGCAAATGGCATTAGTTTGTCTTGTTTGATGGCTCAATAGTATTCCTTTGTGTATATATACCACATATTCTTGATATTCTTGATCCAGCCATCTTTTCTGGGCATTTGGGTTGATTACAAGTCTTAACCTATTATAAATAGTGCTGCAATAAACATAAAGGTACATGTATAATTTTGAGTTAATTTGTTTTGTTGTTGTTCTTTGGGTAGATTCCTAAGAGTGGAATCACTGGGTCATATGCTGGTAACCTGAGGAACCTCCATACAGCACTCCATTGTGGTTGGACCAGTTTGCATTCCCATCAGCAATGTAGGAGAGTTCCTTTCTGTAGTTGCTAGTTATTTTTAAATATGTGCTATTCTTACTGGTGTAAACTAGCTCATTGTGGTTTTAATTTGCATTTCCCGATGTTGAGGGATGTTGAACATTTTTTTAATAAGCTTGCTGGCCATTTGCATTTCCTAAGAGCTTCTCCTGTACAGCAAAAGAGACATTAACCAAAACAGTCACCCACTGATTGGAAAAAATTTTTACATTCCATACAACTGATAAGGGACCAATCATAAAGATCTACCAGGAGTTCACAAGACTCAACGAAAACAAAGTTGAGTCTGCCCAATCAAAAATGGGCAGAAGAACTTAAAAGATACTTTTTCAGAAAGGCACAGTTTTTGCTAAGAGAGATCAGTATAGTCACAGGTGGCAGTGGCAGCTTTGGTAGGAGAGTTGCCTCTGCTGTTTTGCAGGGGGTGTCAGTGAAGAGAAGTGCTGATGTGGTCACAGGTCACAGGCCAGCAGGAGGGCCGCTGCCTAAACTATAGAAACTTTTAAACTTTGGGAGACATTGTTTATTGCAGATCGATTAGAAATTAAGATAATGAGTTTCAAATGAGAAATCCAATTCAGTTCACAAAAGCTTGATTTATACATAGCTTCTCAGGAACTCTCCTTTTTTTTCTTCCCAGCTTTAGAGAAATGCTTGACTGGTAACACTGTGTAAGTTTAAAGTGTACAACATGATGATTTAATGCATGTCTCTATTGCAAAAAGATTACCAAAGTAATTTTTTAAATTCCATCACCTCACATAATAAAAATTGTGTATGTGTAAGTGTATGTTTAAGATTTACTAATTTAGGATTTGAATAGACACTTCTCCAAAGAAGATATACAGATGGTGAAGAGGCATATGAAAAGATGCTGATCAGCTCTTATTATTAGGGAAATGCAACTCAAAATAAGAAGCATCACCTCACACCAGTTAGAATGCTATTATTAAAAAGACCAGAAACCACACGTGTAGAGAGAAGGGAACTCTTGTACATTATTGGGAAGGTAAATTGGTACAGCTATTACGGAAAAATGGTATGGAGAGTCCTTGAAAATTTAAAAATAAAAACTGCATACAATCCAATTATCCTATTTCTGGGCACCTACCTGAAGAATATAAAGGCACTTAATTCAAGAGGTATATGGAACATTATTTACAATAACCAAGAAATGGAAACAACTTCAGTACCCATCAACAGATGACTGGATAAGTAAAATGCAGAATACATACACAATCTAATTCTACTCAGCTATAAAAACAAATGAAACACTGCCATTTATGTACCACATCTTTTTTTTATCTTTTACTTTTATTT